TTGAAGACACTAACTTAGACATGATATTTATTTTGGGTTTACAAGAAGCACTAAAAATGTAACTTCAAGAAAGTTAGATCAAAAGTTAATAGTTACCGATAAAATGTAACTAAATTAAGTTAAAAGTTAAGAGTCTAAAATAACTAAGTTAAGTTAAGTAAGTTAAGTTAAATAACTAAGTTAAGTTAAAATTATTTAACTTTTTAACTTTTTAACTTAATTTTTATCTTTTTAACTAGCCACTACCCAACCCTGTTCATAATTGATCGAAAAATTACTTTTAATAATCATTTTAACATCATTTTGATGTCATTTTGATGTTATGATGACGTTGTTCTGCTTGGGATTCTTCCAAAAGCGTTGTAACAAGAAATATCGAGAACAGAGTGTGCATAAGTGCGAGGCAAAGAACTCATTCAAGTGTGGAACAATTTGACAAAGTCTTTTTTGTAAGCCTGACCGTGAGGTTTGGACAGTTTCGGGAAAGAACTTCACTGTGACGATATCGCTCGATACACTGGAACTGAATAATAAATCATAAAACGCAAAGAAGTGTTTCATCCCTCCGGTCCACCACGCGGTCCTGTGGGAGTATGTGTCCTCGCTTTCTCATTCGCTCCACCTGCTGCAGCACTCTCTTCCACTCAAAATTCCAACGATCCATTTCTCGCTCGCTATCCCGCTTTTACCTCTATTATTCCGCGATCGGATCTGTCGTTCTCTGTGAGCTACACCGGCATCACATTCGCCACCAGCTAGTGCGTGCGTGAAGAGCAACTATAATCGATTTATCGAATATACACTTCGATATGGAAACCTAAAAAAATATTCTTTAATGAGAGACCGTGTACATCACATAAATATTAATCGTAACAAGAAAACTAGCTGAACTCGTTGTACAATTTATTTATATTAGGTGAGGTACGTGTAATAGCGTCACAAGATCAAATAGCAAAATGTAACGAGAGTTTGAGTGATTATAATTGTTTATTAGTAGAGTGAAGTTTTTTGTAAAATGTGATGAAATGGATGTAGATACGCAAACGAGAAACAGCGCGGTGCAGCTTAAAAGTAACTTTATTTTGCTTCATAATTTGTATCGCGTAATTCACTTTTTCATTTAGTGAGTTTTAAAGTTTGTTAAGCTCAAAACATGTATCTCTTTATAATTAAATGTTTTGTTGCGACAGATAAGATGCACACAGTTGCTGGCCATATTATTGAACACTCTTGAATTTTTTGACAGATATTATTATTTTAAGTAGCCGAAAATGTGGACTATTTTTATATACCTACCTAAGTAGGATTTTCTTTTTTGTTTAAATTTTTAATTAATAAATACATAGTTTTGATATTATTCAAATATTTATTTATTTTTGTAAAATAAAAAGATATACATTATTATTTAATATTTTTAAGTCACCTTTGATGACTATTGGAGTTTTGATTTTCTTTGACATATTAATGCATGTATATTCAAATAGATAATGATTAAATTAAAATTCATTAAGTAATTAAAATAAAATTTCATCGTTTAATTTGAAATAAAAGAAGCTTAGAACACATATGATCTCCTTTCTCTCTTTAAAACTAACAGATTCATATTTGTTCATAAACAATATTGTAAATGACAAGAATAATGCACTACAAATGCATCCATTTTATACATAGTTATATGTATAATTTTTTTATATATTTTTCAATCAATTATAACAATAATAGATGAATCATAACTTAAATCTGATCCTTGAAAGGTAATAAATTATAAAAAATATGCATCTAATAATATGATCAGAAAGAAAATCGAGAAAGCAGAAAGAATAGTTAAGAGTTAAGAGAAAAGTTGACATGTAAGTTTTATTATACAGAATGTTCCCGGGTTAAACCGTCAAATTTAAAATATAAATTTTATAGGTACCTTAAAACAACCAAAATTTTCCTTTGGAAGTTTGCTCATAAACGCTTTGAGAGATATTGACTTTTTGACGGAAATATAAGAATAATAATGAAATATTTTTGTGTAGAATACTACTTTGAAGTAAAAAGTGTATGAAATACTAGTTATAATGACCATGAATCATTAGAACAGAGGATAACGCAAGAGTACGAAGAAATTACATGCAATGTCAGTCAGCTACTACGTTTTTTTATCGATGCAATGCTTAGAGCTGGAGGCTGTCATTTTCATAAATTTAATAATTACATTATAAAACAATAAAAAGGAAAAACCTAGATTATTTCGTCTTTATTTATTCCTATATAGTAAAAAATTTTGTGTTAAATTTAACGTATTTCACATATCCCAAACAATCTACCCGACTGTTGGTGTTAATTTAACATATGATGAATATGTTAGAAAATAACACTAATATTATGCAAAAATTAATAACACAAAATGCGTAATGCTTTGACACAATGGAAAGAAAATTTTACATTAAATTAACACATAATGTTAAATTTAACTGAAATTGGATGCTATTTTTACATTCTTTGAAGTGATATCTGTATATGATATTTAACATCGCAAGATAAGGAATATATTGATTTAACAAATAGTTACAGCTACAAAGAAAAAATAATATAAAATATCTGTACATTTTATTTAATATAAAATATGTAACTAACAGCACAGAACATATTTCTTCAGTAAAATTGACATTTGTAATATATTAAATTAACATCAAACATTTTATTAATTTATTTTTAAAATTTATGTTTTAAAACTACATTATTTTTATGTTGTTTGTTTACTTACTTACAAATTGTATTATTTTAACACTGAAATGTTAAATATTAAATTAATACAAAATATTATTCATAAATAACACAATCACATTATGTTAAACTAACACTTAGATATGTTAAAGCAGTTAAAGATTCAACACAAAAATTTTAATAAGGATTTTAATAAGGATTTTATCATAAATACAAAAATGTTTTTTACTTTTTTAATATGTATATTTTTGTAACTTAACAAGTCAATATCTCTTAAGAGCTCTGCCCTACCCAGCCATGAACTCCGCGTTGACAGTGGCTACATCGCGATAGAAATTAAAAGCTTGTCAGATTAGACTCGTTCTATAATACGTCATATATCGGTGTTTTAAGTCATAAACCGTAATAATTCTACAGAATATATTGTATGCCGATATCGTAAGCAGTGTAAAATTGATCAATCACAGTCGAATATGAAGAGAATACTCGATTTAAAGAAAATAACCTACTGTGAAAAGTATTGACAACGAATGTTGTGTTGCGTGCCATTTTGTTATTATGTGCTTAATTGTGAAAATGTGACTTGTCTCGTTTATTAAAGTCGTAAAAACGGGTGTAAACTAGTTATTATCGAATTTTATACGTAAAAGTATCTTTTCCATAGATCGGAAGAGCACA